AGAGAGACAGCGACAGAGACAGAGGTAGAGAGACAAAGAGAGGAGGGAGGAAGGGCGGGGCGGGGGCAGAAGCTATTACATTTTTTTAAAAGGAGTAAACAAAGCAAGCTCACACCCCGAGAAACCAAACATATGATACACATGATGATCGATAGTGGACAATTTCGCCCCGTTCCGGAATCCGCACAGTTGCTTCCTGCTGGCATCATAAGATTTAACACATAGAGACAGGAGCGGAAAAATCAATGTCTTTACTTTCACTCAGAGAAACGCAAATGTCACAGTAATTTCAGCCTTACAATCGTCAATAGTTTTTATAATTCCTTCCCTGAATCGGGCACAAAAAAACAGCCTTCGGCAGCAGGAACTATTTCGGTTCCTGGTGCAGTCATTATAGGTGCATCACCCGTTTAATTAAAGTTGTCGAGTTGAGTAATATGCATCACTTGCTTTGGATCCGAATGACGACGACCACTTTGCCAGGACCAGATAAGGATAAAATGCAGTCAACCCTATCCAAGACGACCACATATTAGCTTCCTTAGAACTTAGAATTACAAAGTTCAATCTAACATTTTTGGCTGTTTTGAGTTACTAAGACCGTGTGGTTAAAAACCAAATATTCTATCTGCTCTATCAAAATCATAAGATTATTCGGAGTCGTTTTCATGATATTCAAAGAATTACATTCGAAAAAGCTTGACATATTGTGAAACTCAACATTTTTTACGCCGAATTTCTCAAAACAAGGTAGTGAGCGGATAGAATTTTGTAATTCCAGGATAGCTTATTGTCGAAGAGAAAGGTGCTCATCTGAGACACACGTCCTCTATGATAGTGTCATTATCGTTTAGAAAAGAGGCATAGGATTTGGGAAGTGGTCGTTTGTACAGGCGATTGTCTTGGACAGGTGGTCGTTAGAGCGGCTTCGACTAAATTATTACACAAAAGAAGTAGAAAGAGCGCCCCACATCAGAGAGCCCACTGGATTATGAGCCGAAGTCAGTCTCTCTATTATTAAAAAAAACGATATTCCTCTTTGTGTTCATCTTGCGCACACTATTTCCGGTTCATGAAAAGAGGCCTGACTACCATTTGCCATCTCCAGTGTATTACAAAAATAAGTATCGACAACGCACGTTCTGGGGCCCCAAAGAAAGAGAAAACTCACAAGTCCATACAGCGATCAGTTTGCAGGGCCCACAGTCTAGATGGGCAAACTTACGTCATACACCACGCAATTATACAGGGGGATACAAAAGTAGGTATACATTAATGAAAAAAAAAAAGAGAACAGTAGATAACTCGTGGCATTTATTAACCAAACAAATGAATATTGTATATTAACACATGTTATAAAAAGCGCAGCCATAATCCCCCAGATACTCAAACTGTTTGCTATCGGTATTCACACACTCCTCTATCAATTTAGCGAATTAAGTACAATAACTATATTTCACGGCGTCCAGAATTCCCTCTCAGCGATCTTTTAGTTAGTC